GAGCTAGTTTTCTAGTCTGGTGTTCCATAATCTGGATGTGTGATTATTTCTTGCATGTTGTTGGCACAGATATAGCAGGATGGCGCCATGTCTTCTTGCATCACCTCAGGAGATAAGTGATGTCAGTTTGTTTACTATTGGCGTTGCCAGTTTTGATCAGATGGTGAAGGTTGTAACAGCCGGATGTCTCCATTGTAAGAGAACCTTTTCCTTTTGTGATTAGTAAGTAATCTGCAGATTAATACCTTGGCACTGTGCAAATCATCTGTTTCCCAATAACCTTTCACCCCACTGGGTACTTTTTCAAATCTGAGTGGTGATTTTTATAGTTGCTTGCTCTCTACGTATAGTTTCAGTTCTCTCTTCTTATTTTTTAAAAACCATTAAGCACTCTTATTTTATATACTTGAATGCATTGCTCTGAGGGGGTCTAGTTCTGCTTCCTGTTGTTTCTGATGGTTCTCACTCATGGTGCCATGTTTCCTTGTTTGTTTTTAATGAGTCTTGACTACGAGCCTGCATTTCATAGGACTGTATCTGTGAATTCATTGAGGCCTGAGTTGAAGGTGGGCTCCTTCCCGAGAGACTTCACAGACTGAAGTTTTGGGGACCTCCCAAAGTGGTGTGAATTAGGGCTGAAACCTGAGGGCTGGCTTTATTCTGGCACCTTTGGGTGCAGCTTTAGTTCTGGTTCAGGCTAGCACTGAGCATATAGCCCTGTGGGGTCTCATCTTCATGGGGATGCTCCTTTAAGATTACCTACCTTGCGAAGGCCCTAGGATTTATCTTTTGTTGTCCCAGAAGCCTTGCGAACTGAGACTCCAGGTCACTAGTGTACAGCAAATGCCGTCAGGGCAGGAGCCAACTGCAGGCTCCACAGACCTCAGTAGGTTTGATTTTTACCTCTGAAGATTCCAGACTTTTTAAAAACCAACTTAGTGATGTATTGAAGATGTTTTAAAATTTTTATCAGCATTTTTATTTGTTTCTTTTGAGGGGGAGGGCCAATCAGGACATTCATCCTGATAGAGAGTAGTACCCCCCTAAGTCTGTGCTGGTTATAGAACGCTCAGATGCTTCGTAGGGTTGCTGGAGCTGGATATGTGCCCTTGTCTGGCACCCATACAGGGCTGAGGGTCCTGTTTGAGGTGCTCCCAGAATCCCATGCTGCCTGTTCTTATCCTCTCTCTCTCACACAGTTAATGAGACAGGACCAGGTGGGCTGGGACAGGCAGGGGCGGTAACCAGCATCTCTGAGTGACGGCTACCCCGCCTTGGCTAGCTTCTGGTGCTCTTTCTTGATTTCTAGGCTTCTTCAGGGAGTAGTGGTCCTGTTGAGTAAAAGGAAAGGGCTCCATGAATGACTGAGTGCAGGGCAGGTGCCGGGGCAGACCTGTGACCTGTTCATGGGTCCAGCTGTGGGACACACAGATGTGTGAACCCCTCAGCAGCCCAAGAATGTCAGTTAGGGACCTGTGGTCTCTGAGCACCAGCCCCTTCCCTGGCCCTGCCTCCTCTGCCTCTCAAATTGCATGGGTTCTGTCTGATGGTGCAGCCCCCATGGGCTGTGGCAGGTCTCCACCAGCACCTGGTTGTTTGCGTATGAGCTCCTGCCTCTGCCATGAGGGTGCCCTCGGATCCCTGTGACTGCTGGACCTGCTTGAGGCATGTGGCCTTGGTGGGAGGGCGAGCGCCAGGTGCAGCCCTGGCTGCCCGCTGCTCCCCACACCTGGGGGAAGGCTGGGGTTCCCTCTCTGTGGGGATAACCTTGAGGCCTACCAGGCTGCTGCTGCTGGGGGAACATAGGGAGAATGCTGACGTCCATCTGTGGGCTGAGGGCCTGTAGGGCTTCTGGGGGGCATGTGTAGCATCAGTTGGAAAGGCTGTCAGAGGTGTGCAAATTGTGTCAGATTGTCTTTCTTTTTAATTTTTAAAAGAATGTGTCTCACTTTGACATCTCGAAGAGCAGGCAGAATACAAAGTTGTGCTCGATGGATTAAGTTTCATGTTCCTTTGCCCTCCGGGAGGAAGAGACAAGTGATAGAACAGGGAAAGGAGGCGGTGGCCGGTATCACACATCGGCCTTACGCAAGGGGCTGCGGCCTCCGCTCCGGGCGGCCCGGTGCCAGGGGAGATAGGATAATGCGATTATTCTCAATTAGATTAATAAAGAATAATTAGATGTCATAAATCAAGTAATCGTAGGATATTGTCATGGGAAAAATATGTAGCTAGAATTAATTAGTTTTCAAATAAAGCATTTATTTTAATTGCTTGAAATGATGGAGCTCTTAATTGCAATGCCTCATTTTGGCCTGAGCATTTTTGTTGTTGTAACAACATGACGAGTTTGTTCCCTGCAGTTCTGGGAAAACAATAGAGGAGAACTTGATTTCATCACCTCAGAGTGAGCCTTGTACTGGTGAGGCTCTGGAAACTCCCATCAGGCCCCAGGCAGGTGGCAAGTGTGGGCTGGGCTTTGGTTGGCGCCGCGTGTGTATGTGTGTGTGTGCATGTATGTGCGTGCCCATAAACGTGTGCATGCATATGTGTGTGTGTGCATGTGTAGGTGCATGTGCATGTGTGCGTATGCATGAATGTAGTGTGTGTGTGTGTGTGTGTGTGTGTGTGTGTGTGTGTGTGCACGTTAGGACTGCATAATGGGAGTCCTGGAAAGGTGGCCAGTCAGACTCTATGGCCTGGACTGAATGGTGAGGTGCCTTTCATCCTGGACTGGGACTTTTCTATCAGGTGGAGGTGATTTAGTGGAGTCTGCATTCTTGGGTTTCTCCGAATCTGGGGCCCTGCAGCCCTGTGTCGTTGTCAACCAGTTGTTCTTAGGGGGCAAACACAGCACAGGCAGGCTGTGACTTCTGAGGGCCCAGCAGCTGCTCCTCTGAACTTGTCCACCAAGTCAGCCTGCCCACGGGTAGCCACTGAAGGGCCTGCGACTGGCAGTGTCTCCAGGTCGCTTATCTGTCTCATGCTAGCGCAGAGGCCATGGATCGTGGAGCAGTATGGAGTTGGGGCCCTCTGCTCCCTGCAGGAGGCTGTCCTTGTGTTTGGGAAGAGTCCGTTGGCCTTTAGACAAAGGTGAGAGAGGTTGTTAGGCTGAAAACCCTGAAAGAGAGAGAGAGGGAAACAGAGCCTTGGCCATTTGTAAAGCATGTTCCCAGGGACCTCACCCCTCTCTTTGAAACCCTATGACAGGCAAGATCTAGTGGTAGAGTGGCCAGTAAGGGTGACCATCCACCCTAGAGTCAGAGACTGGAGCCACCCCTTCCTGGCCCTGGCCCTATAGTGTCTGTTGTGGGTCATTAAGATCTAGGACCCAACCCTACTCCTAATGGCCTCACGGTGGCCAGGCTTCAGCTGGCCTGGCAGCTGACAGCACACTCCTGCCGGGTCTCTGCAGCCTGGTGTCACCGCACACCTGCAGCTCTGGTAGTCTCCAGGCTTCGGTTGCTGCTCTCCCTTTGCTCTCTGGTGACCTGGAGCCCCCTGGGCTTTGCAGGGTCCCCAGCTGCCTCAACAGTGGCATTTCTTAGGCATTTTGAACCTTTTGCTCCAGTCAAACTCTTCTGGATCTCTTCTGAAGATAGACTAGAAGGAAAGGGCCTGGGATGCTTTTAAGGAGGGGAGATACAGGGCTTGGCGTTTAAGGGGATGGCTGAAGTGGTACCCTGGACTGGCACCCAGTTGAGAAACCCACACCTCTCCTGCCTCTGTGCCTGTGCGTGTGCCCAGCCTCGTCCTGCAGCCCCCTTCTGCATGGGCCTCTGTCCTGGGCCTGGAACCCCCTCTCACCCATGGCATCAGCCTCCTGGCCAAGGCGCCCTCCTGGAGGAACCCTTCCTGTCTTCTTTGCCTTTGTTCTTTTGCTTGCCCCAGTTCCTCCGGTGGCTGTGGCCACCATAGTCATTGGGTACGTGGCCTCCTCATTGCTCTGCGTGCAGGCTTCAGGTGGGTGGGCTGGGTACTATCCCAGAGCCTAACACCTTCAGCCTAGCCCGGGGCCTGCAGTCAGACAGATGTGCCCCCTGGCTGTAGGAGCAGGTCATTTCTAGTTCTGCCCCTACTCCCAACAGCTGCTGAGAGCAGCCACCCTGCACTATCAAGTCCCTGGCTGCCGGTGGGACTGAGGTGGTGTAAGAGGACATGGGCCTCCAGGGACTCTGCAGGATTGCGTGGTTGGGGTAGGCTTAGTGGGAACATTGGATGGCTTCTTCTTGCGGGTGGATGGACCCTAACAGGCCTTAAACACAGGACTACTGATAGGAGAAAGGGTCTCTTTATCATCTGTGATAGCAGCCCTCCTGGAGGTGGCAAGGTGATTTGGTTCCCTGCCCCTTGCCCACACTGCCGCGTCAGTCCCTCTGCCCCTTAGTGGCAGCGTGCAGGCTCTGGAGCTCTCCAGAGCACGCCTGAGCCTGGGGGGCCTAGGGCCGCTCACTAGACCATTCCTTCCCCAATAGTAAAGGGTGCTGCCTGCTCGGAGGTGGCAGTCATGATTAACAGTTGTGGGTGTTCAGGTCCAGGACCCAGTGGGCGGCATTGGCAGCACATGCGACGAACAGGCTCCTCTCCGTCTCCTGGAACCCAGGGACTACACCCGCTCTGAATTTTCTGTGAGGATTAATTGGAGTGGGCTCCCCGAGGGAGAAGCTAGAGCAAGGCCTGGAAAGAAGGCAGAACTCAGCCAGGCCCAGAGGCAGCCCGAGTGGGACGGCGCTGGTGTGGCCAGTGGGATGCAGGGAACTGGGAGGCGCAGCTGGTGGGTGGGCTGGAATTCTGTCCTGGGCAAGTATGGCTGAAGGAGGGTGTGTTCTGTACCCACCCCGGATGGCACATGTTGGGACTATGGTGGACTCACTTGGGTGCAGAAGTCAGCAGGCAGGTGGAAGAGGGGGTGAAGGGGTGGGTAGCACCCAGGGAGGCCTCCTGCTGCCTTCCTGAAGGGGGACAGATGGGTCACTTATATGCCCTCCCTTGGTCCCCAGGTGACTGCACCCGCGCCCAGCATGGAGGCCCCACCACCCCCACCGCCAGACCCCCAGTTTGTTCTCCGAGGCACCCAGTCAGCGGTGCATGCACTGCATTTCTATGGAGGAGCCCAGGGGCAGGGGCGCCCACTTCTCCTCTCAGGGTGAGTAGCTGTTGCCGACCCGCCCCCAGGGATTAGCCCAGGGTGAAGTTGGGGTTGGGGGTAGCATGAGCCTGGTGCTCATTTGGAGGTCCTAGTAAGGGGCTCAGGCTGCCTATCACCCGGGCATACTGTGCTTTTAGAACCCACTCGACATGCTGTCCCCTTTGGCCTCACCCCCTCGGGGACGACAGGGACACAGGCCCTCTCTGTTACAGGTGCCACCCAGTTTGCACTGTCAACAGCGGCCCTTCCTCCCCCTGTAGAGAAGCAGGCTCTGCTTAAGGGGGCCCTCAGAGGCTCCAGAGGGCCCCCTTGGAAGAGGAGCATGTGCCACTTTTACTCTTAGTTCATATTTAGAGCTGTCACCTAAAATAAAAACTTGAGCAGCTGGAACACCTGGTCCACCAGCAGTGTGGTCTCCAGGTGGGCCCTGCAGAGTGTGCTGGGCATGGCCTCCCTCCTCTGACACCTCCTCCTGACCCTGCCCCTGACTTGTCTGAACAGGTCGCTGAGTGGGCTAGTGCACATCTGGAGCCTGCAGACACGGAGAGCGGTCACCATCCTGGACGGCCACAGGGGCCAGTGTGTGACCTGGCTGCAAACACTGCCCCAGGGACACCAGCTACTCAGGTAGGTCTCAGTGGCACAGTGTGGTCCAAAAGGAGCCAAGTTGTGGCCTTCAATGGGGACCAGGAGCTCTCCAGTGGAGGCCCTCGTGGCCTGCCCTGACCACCAGGGGCCCTGCCCCCAACAGCAGACTAGGGTGTGACCTTTCCTCTCAGCCTATCCTGAGGCAGTACGTTCAAGGTGTGCTGGGTGCTGTCCAGGCTGGTGCCCAGTGAGAAGGGCCTGATGAACGTATAGGAAGACACCGTCCATAGCCCGGCATCACCTGTGGCCTGAGCAGAGCCTGCCTGGCCTGCTACAGCTCCCCAGTGGCGAGAGCTGGGGACCTATAGCTAAACTCAAGGCTTCTCCTTGGAGAAGCCTCAGCTCCCCTCCCACAGGCCCTGAGGCCCTGGTATCATGACACTGCTCTGCTGAGTGACTTTCTCCTCGGCCATGAAGCCACCTTCCTACAAGGTGGTGAAGACTGGTTGCCAGGGCGGCACACAGAGCCTAAGCCTAAAGCTCACCAGGCTGGTCGGGGCTGCACTCCACACCCTGATACAGCCGCCTCCAGGGCCACTGGGAACATCACACAGGTGCCCAGGTCTGCGGCACTTGGGGCTGGCCATCACAGGGTCAGCAGAAAGTGGCAGGAGCAAGGGTAGCCTGACATTCGCGGTGGAGGAGTTGGCTGCGTTTGCCGAGGCCATGGTGGGCCTGGCCTATGAGTGTCACAAGGGGCCATGAGGTGCTGGAGGCTGGGCAGCAGAGTAGGGAGTGGCTGTTTTCTGGCACTGCTGCCATGACCTTGTAGAGGTAACAGGCCTGGGACTCCAGGAGCCAGGTGGGCCAGGAGGCCACAGGAAGGGGCAGGCAGGTGGGTGAGAAAGCAAATTGGAAGGTGCTTCCCTGCTTCCCATGGGGAGAGGGAGGGACAGGGCAGGGCACAGACCTGGAGGGTATGCAGGAAGCTGGGTGCCCGCCTGGCTTCCAGAGCTGGCCATTGTCTTGGGTCACACTGACATCTACCCCAATTCGGGCACCGCTGCCCCAGTCCAGGAAGCCACCAAGTCAAAGTGCCACACTCCTGACACTCTCTGCCCTAGCACTCCGGGACTGTTTTCTTGCTCTGGACTTGGAGCCTGGACATCTGGGCACCACTGAGCCAGTCCCCGGAGGATGAAGCCAGGTCCCCGCTGGTCTGCATAACACTGTTATGCCAGATTCATGTGGCTCCCACCACCCTGAAGGTGGCTCTCAGGTGACCGAGAGACCAGAGGTGTCGGTGCAGGCTGTGGCCCTGGACGTGTGTGCTCATAGAACCCTCACGGGGCCTTGCCTCCTTCCTGGCCTGGCTGGCCCAGATGCGTGTCCGCACCCCTCACTTGCTGCACAGTGCCCTTATGGTTTTGGTCTTCCCCTGGTAGTAGAGTAGACGTCATGTGCAGATACCCCACTAAGACACTTGCACTGAGAGCTGCCATTTGTAATTGTTCCTGCAGAATTTTCAGCCGAGGCGTAGGCCCTTCTTGGCCTCCTGCTCCTCTAGGGCCCAGGCAGTCTCTGGGAACCCCCAGCCATGAGTGCCTGGGTGCCTGATGCCCTGCTCTCAGGCTTCGCTCCTCGGAGAGTCGGGCCAACGTGGTGCAGGGTGGCAAGCTCCTGGTGTGGCCTGTAAGCATATGTTGGATGGTGCACCCCCCCCCCCGCCGCCCTTCCATCTGGGATGGCACTGCAGCATCCAGGCAGGAGGCCTGCGGGTCAGCAGGTCTGCAGCGCAGATGTACAGGTGCTTGGAATGTCCAGGTGCGTTTATGTTGCACTAGAGGCCGTGCACCCAGCTGTGTTTAGAAGCCAAGTCTCTCCAAAGTGGCTCTTGAGGGAGGAAGGTGAGCTTTTATGTCAAGGAGAGGCTGGAGGACAGAAAGCAGGGAGCCAGGGGCTCTGGCCCTCGCCAGGCTGTACACAGGGCTCCGGGAAGCCCAGGGGCTGCTCCACAGGCGCCCCCCAACCCCACCCACAAGCTGGAGGACGCACCTGTGCCCTTGACAGCTGCCTAGGTGGGTCTGTTTTCTGCCTTTTTAATTGTGAGATGTAACATACTCACAGAAAAGTGCACAGAACAAGTTTGCAGACTGCTGTATTATCACAGAGTGGACACCTGTGTAACCACTCCCAGCAGGAAGCAGAGCACTGCCAGCCCTGCCACTCACCCCGTCCCAGAGGCAGCCCCTCGTGCCTCTTCATGCTTTACCACCTGAATGTGCATCTCCAAAGGCAGATTCACTTTTTTCTGTGTTGTTTTTTTTTTAACTTAAAAAAGTGGAACCATGCGGAACAGCTTCCTGTGTGTCTGACTTCTTTCACTCATCTCTGTCTTTATGAGATCCACCACGGTGCACGTGGCTATGGCACGCTGTGTGTGCATTCTCTGTGTGGTACTCCATGGGCAAGTATACCCAGATCACTTATATTCTACTGTTGGCGGACATCCGAGTTGTCTACTTGGGCCTGCTGTGAATAAAGTGGAAGAAGGCTCCCCTCCAGGCCTCCTAGTGCCAGATACATTTGTGTCTACAGTGTGGACCCCATACTCAGAGGTGGGACACCCGGGCCACAGGGTACATGCATATTGGGCCTCCCCAGGGGCGCCAGGCTGCACTCACCCCAGTGCAACGAGTGCTCCCACCCCCTGCTGCCACCTGGGGCTGAGGAGATTCTGGGTGTGGCTGTCCCTGCGTGAGGATCAGCTGGGGTGATGGGCATCAGGCCAGTAGAGAATGTGTACAGTGTTAGCAATTAGAAGACCAGGTAGAGGAGTTATGGGAGGTCTTCCTACTGTTCTCACATCTGTTCTGTGAGTTTGAAACAAATTCAAAAGAAAAAGTTACTTAAAAACAGGCCAGTCTTGGGCCAGCCGAGTGGCACGTTGGTTAAAAACTAGCTTGGGACGCCAGAGGGCCCTGGTTCGGATCCCACATATGCGGGCCAGTGACACTGCCCTCTACAGCTAAGATGCTGAACAACAGCTCAACCTGGAGCTGGGCTGCCGGGAGTCGCCGGCGACGGCGTAGGCTGCAGCCCCTGTGGCAGTGGGTTGCCGTGGGCTACCGTATGTAGCCAGCAGCCAGCATGAGTGGCCAGCAGCCAGCATGAGTGGCCAGCAGCCGCTGTGAGCGGCCGTCCAGAAGCCGGCAACTGATCTGCCTCGCCTGGGAAGAGCGCAATGATGGTGCCAACTTGGGCCAGTGAAACAACGTCCTCCACAACTAGACTGAAGAACAAAAGGACAGCAACTTGTCTGTTCCCCTTCCCCCAATTCCCCAGCACTGTTCCCATCCCCCAATTCCCCAATAAAAATCTTTAAAAAAAAAAACAACAGGCCAGTCTTTTGTTCACAGCATGACTGCCATCTTCACTGTGAGTCAGATGCCCTCCGTGTGTGAGCATGTTTCTCTTGCGTTAAGCTCTGGTGTGCCCTTGTGTCGGGGACTCATGTCTGTCTCCCTCATAGTTCAGCAGAGCACATCATCAGCCTGTTCCTTAGGAGTGTCATGTGATTCCTAGTCCTCCAAATGTCCAGGCATTTTAACATCAGCTTGGCGGGGAGATTTGGATTGGGACCCAGTTGTTCTGGGTCAGCCTGGGGAGAGCACCCATCAGCACAGCACCAAGCTCTGGGGGCCTAGGCGTCTGATGTGACAGGGCAGGTCTGTCACATTGGTGGCAGCACCAGTGACTAGATGCCAGGCCTCGTGTGGGCTCTCCGGCCTCCCACCACTGTCCTTTTCTCCTCCAGGACCTACTGAGTTGTCACGTCATCTTAGTCCCCCGTGGTCTGTGCTTGCGTCTATTTCCCTTGTTTCTCCTGACCTTGATCCTTGGGAAGAGGGACTAGTCAGGAGTTTTGTAGAATGCCCCTCACTTTGGGTTTGCGTCATGATTTCTCAGGATTAGGGGGGTTGATGGGCTTTAGGGAGGAAATCCACAGAGGCCAAGGGCTCTTGTCCCATCATTGGGGGTCCGTAAGGTCCATAAGGAGTCATCTCTGGTGAGTGTCACCTTAGTCACCTGGGGAAAGCATGTCGGCACATGTCCTACCTTCAGGGACATTTACCTCTGCTTACTGGGCTCCTTGGAAATGAGTCCCTAGGTCCAGCAAGGACAAAGGCAAAGAATTAATAATTAAGGAGGGTCAAAGAATGGGTGGTCCTGTTGGAGCCTTCATAGTGAGTAATAGCATCTGGGGGAGATACTTGGAGGTGATGCCTATGTCCTGTTTCTTCTTAAGTTTCGCCCACCGATTTTAGCCTCCATCAGTGGGTTCTGCCCCCTTAGTTATTACTGGGGTATTCTCAAGGGGGCTTTGTGTTTCCTGGCACTCCTACTTCTGGTAGAATTCTGCTTTAATTGGAATTCTGTAAGGAATGTTTATCTCCTCGTCTCTATTTATTTATGTGTTTGCTCATGAGTCTGGGCTCATGGAGATTTATTTTATTCTTTGGTTATAATCTCATACTACCATTATTTTATTACTCAGGTTGCGCCAGCTTTGGCACCTGGGTCCTTCGGGTGTGCTCCCATCTTTTATTTTATTTTAAAAAATATTTCCTTACCTTCTGGCTGCAAGATGCTCAGAACTCATCTTAGTTCCCACCACCCCCTCTCCCGCCCCTTCCCCTGTCCAGCCCTAGTCTCAGCCATTTCTCCAGAAACCTGGTCCCTGTTTTTAGAGAAGGGGTAACAAAGCAGACCAGGACGCTAGGCATGCTCATCACTACTGGGGTGTTGTTGCTTCCAGGTCCTCTCAGGGAGCAGCCTGGGGAATACCTGTGTGTGCACAAGCCATGCTGCATACACACCTGTATGCACCTCTGTGTCCGTCTGTCTATATATGTACTGCGATGAACATGCATTTACACTGCCGTCTCTGATTCGAATCCAAAACCATGGGTCCATCATGCCTGCCCTGGGCTTCTTTGTGACCCATCTCTGTGATGGGAGAAACCTGGCTCCTTTTGTCCACCACTTATATGCTTCTCTGTTAAACCCTGCTGTGCCGGTAAAGAGGTTTCAGAATTGCCAACCCACACCCCTATAAGAAACAGGTGGACCAACTAGAGTCCCATGTTTCTGTACAGTTATTTTGCCTTTAACCTTGCAGTATCGAGTCAACACACTTCCAAAATTCCTCAGGTCAGCTTCTGTCTTCGCTCTTGCTGGGCTTACTATGCCCTACATTTGTCACAGTCTGTAGTCCATCCTGGGATCCTTACATCCTGACTGTGTGTGTGTGTGTGTGTGTGTGTGTGTGTGTGTGTGTGTGTGTTTCAGTGTATTTACAGTAAAGTTTGCTCTTTGTGGCATAGATTTGTGGGCTTGGTGATGCCCACAGTCATGCATGCACCACTTTAGGGCCACACAGAGTGGGCTGTACCTTGCAGAGCCCCTGTACTGCCCCTCTGTGGGCAATGTCCTGTAGTCCTCTGTCCTGCCATCATGTCTCTCCTAAAAGGTCACACCGATGGAATTATGTAGTATGTGGCCTTTGGAATCTGGCTTTGTTCACTTAGCAAAGTGCAACTAAGATTCATGCAGGTTGTTGCATGCACCCTAGTTTGCTCATCTGTTGCTGAGTGGAATTGCATGGTGTAGATGCACCACAGTTTGTTATCTAGCCTCCTGTTGAAGGGTTGTTTACCGTTTGGGCAATTTGAACAGAGCTGCTGTAAACATTCGTGTATAGGTTTTTGTGTGAATCTAAGTTTTAAATTCACCTGGGAAAACACCTGAGGGTAGGATTGTCAGGTGGTCAAAGTTAATTCACAAAGGGATGCAGGGAGGGAGAACACTCACTTTGGCAGCCTGGGGAGTGGCAGGAAGCCCTCAGGAGGCCTCCCTCTGCAGTGTGTCCCTGGGATGCCCATGAGTGTGTCGGGCATCGGGTGTCTTGGACACAGACTCAGTGTGTGAATACCAGGGCTGAGAAGCCCTGCCTCAGCTGAGTTACCCCAGATCAATATCTGGCACTGGCCTCAGCCCCTCTCTAGAAAGTATCCCCTGCCTTTTCTCGGCCACAGCATACTGACGTTTGTCCAGGTGGGACGCGCAGTCCACTCACCTAGGAGACTCATGGCCTGTCTCCTCTTGGTTTTGGCAGTCAGGGCCGGGACCTGAAGCTGTGCCTGTGGGACCTGGCCGAGGGCAGAAACACTGTCATGGACTCCGTGCACCTGGAGAGCGTGGGCTTCTGCAGGGGCTCCGTCCTGGCTGGGGGCCAGCAGCACTGGACACTGGCTGTGCCAGGCAGAGGCAGCGATGAGGTAAGCGCCAGCATGCACAGCGCCATGTTCATGTGCCACTGGGCGCTCGGTTTCCCCTACATGGGCACACTCATTCTTAGCAGCTGGTTGCAGGAAGGCTGTGCTTGCCGCAGGACCCAGCAGAGCTGTGGGGCAGGTCTGGGCCTGTCTGCCGGATCGAAGCTCCGGGGTCCTTGGGATGGGCCTTGGCCTGGTCACCTGTGAGGTGGCCCTGGTGGTGAGAGTCAGGAGAGAGGTCCAGGGGAATGGCTGGTGTCTCTGGGAGGCCCTGACACCCAACACAGTGCAGATAGACAAGTGTCAAGGCCTGAGGCTATCCAGAATATTGGAGAGACCACCTAGATACGTCCTCAGAGGACTTAGGTGGAGGTGTGTGTGCAGGGAAGTCCCCAGCAGGCCCACAGGAGGTGGTGGGAGACAGACAAAGGCCCTGGTGAAGTTGAGGTGGGGCTGGGAGCCAGGGCAACAGGGGAGGGCAACCTTTTGGGGAGCAGAACCGGGCCCTGGTGTGAGAGGCCACTGGCAGGGCTGGGGTGCGGGGCATAAAGACTGGTACTGGGGTGGCGATCGCAGTATAGAGGGGCACAGGTGAGCAGGAGAGCATCAGAGGACACAGCTGGAGGGTGGGGTGGGCATGAGGGAGCCTCGGAGGTCACTGTCAGATGGCGCTCAGGCCACAGCAACGAGCAGTGGTTGGTGGTAGCAGAGACTGGTCAGGCTGGATAGTGGCACCCACACCCTGGGGACAGAAGGGGCAGAATCCCCCAAGGGAAGCTGTGCCCAGGATGTGGGGCAGATGGCGGGAAGCCAGGGCAGGGGTGATAGAGGAGGAGGAGGGTGTGGCTGGAGGTGCCAGCTATTGGGAGAGCTGAAGGGAAATGGGAAAAGAAACCCATGAGCGGTGATTGGACAGCCTGGTGAGTGTCAGGGTCGGCTGCTGGGGGTGGGGGTGGGGTGGTGGGCAGGTGCCCTCCTGTCTGCCTCCCACTCCTGCGGCGCATCCTCCCTGTGTCCCCTGCTGGCCCAGAAGGTTGCATGGCAGGCGGCACTGGGCAGAGACCCGGGGCCTATAGACACGGGGAGGTGTGCCCCCCCCCACCTCCGAAGAACTATTTGTCTTAAAGCATATTCAGTTCATAAATAATGAGATAGAAACAGGCATTTATTTGTTCATGATTGCGTTTAAATCACCAATTAGGAGTTACATATACTTTTCTTGCCAATTTGCCAAAAACCTGTTAAAATTTTTATTAATGCGAAAAGAGAGGGGTGTGCTTCCTCCGGGAGGGCAGGAGCCAGGCAGCCCAGCCTTCCTCCTGTGTCACACATGCTGAGACCGGCCTGGGGGCCAAGCTAGCTCTCCTGCCCAGGTCAGGGTGTTGTGTGCTGTCCTCCACCTTGGCTACCCCAGGACTTCAGCGGGCGCATCCTTCCTCCTGCCCTCACCCTCCTCCCCTGGGCCTGGCCCCTGAGACCACTCATTCCTTCTGCTTCAGGCTGTTTTTATCTGACCTTCTGGCTCCCAGCTCCGGCAGCATGTGTGTTGTTCAGGAGCAGCCAGTCTGGGGACCTCGCACATCCTGGGAAAATGGTTATTTTCCATGTTCCCACCTGGAATCTGCTTGGACTGGGTTCTGGAAAAGCATCGCTGGCCTATGCCCAGACAGTGCCCGGGGAAGACATGCTTCTGCCTCGCTCGACCGTCTGGGTGGCCACGCTTGCCCAAACCAAACATTTTTTCCTTCTGGAAACAAAAGTTGCAGTTGAGTGCCAGATGGAAAGCGCTCTGGTGTCTGCAGGAGGCTCCGAGCACAGGCTGCTGGGCCTGTCCTGGTCCTCAGGCTGCAGCTCCTTGCTCACCTGCCCCCACGCTCCCTCCCACAGCACCTAGCTCAGGTTTTGGGGCTGCCCTGTTTCCCTTTCAGCCCCTCCTTCCAACTAGACCAGACTTGCTGGGCAACGTGTCCCTGCCTGATCCCCTTGTCCTTCTGCCCCTCCTCACTGCCACCAGAGGAGTCTTCCTCGGCCCGCAGATCAGGACGTGCCATCCCTCGTTGACCTGTGGACCTATGTGTCAAGCCGTCCAGGGTGCAGACTGTATATGGCCACGTCTGCTTCCTCTGACATCCCTCTCCCTGTGGCTTCTCCTCCCCGCACCAGGCACTTAGCATCATAAAACCAGCCTGTCCTCCTGATGTAGTGACAAAAGGAGCAAATCTCATTTGAAGAAACCTGAATAATTCAAGAACTAGAACAGTGCAGAGAGTAGAAAATCAAGCATCCTGCCCCCAGCAGTTTGATCTGTGTCCTTCCAGACCATCCCCTCACAGCACAGTCATGGGCCGCTCACGTGGACCCTATGAAGCAGAGAAGGGGGCCCTGCCACTCAGCCACAGCCTGCTGCTTTATATTCAGTACAGGGTTGGGGCTTGAGGTGTCAGAACTGAGAAAAGCCATCTCTCTGTTTCTGTTTCTCTCTCTCTGCCCTAGGTGAGCCGTCCTGGCCGGGCACTCCGCCTGCCTCCCTCTGGCTCCCGGGCTTCCCACAGCATTGGCAGCAGTTCTCAGATGATGAGCCTGTACCTGAGTTGCTATCACTCCCTGCAGAGAACAGAAGAGCTCCCAGAGCCCTCTCTCCTTTCTCTGCAGTTTTCTTTTTACTTCTGGGCCCATCGCCACTGCTCCTTGGTTGCCACGCATCCTCTTACATTTCTTTTCGTTTTGCTAGAGATTCTCCTTGAGCATCTTTGCTGTTCCAGGGGCTCCTTCTTCTGGCAGCCTCTTATTTCATGGCAGTAACAACTGTTTACATCACTTCAGTTTTTTTTCTGTCCCCTTTGTGGGCAGTGAGGGCCTATGTGGCTTGCATAGATGCTGGCCTGACGGTGGTGGAGAGCCTGTGTGCATGTGTATGCATGTGTGTGAGTGTGCATGTTTGAATGCGTGGTATATATGTGTGTGCACATGTGCATACTTGGCAGGGGCTCCAGGATGCGCCCTTCCTAGCAGTGGGATACTGTGTGGGCTTCTGGCGAGAGCCCTGCCCAAAGCACACCCACGGCCCATGCTTGTGGAGGTGCCACCCAAAAACAGAAGCAGGCATGAGGCACATCACAGGGCTCTGAAGCTGAGAGGACCAGGCCATGACACCAGCTTTCCGCCCTGCCTGCAGGTGCCCTCAGATGTGGCACCCAACAAACGTGTGGCATATCTGGAACTTAGACTTGACCTGGGACTTAATTCCAGTTATCAGGCTGGTTCTTCTGTGTGCACTCACACACCTCAGTTTCTCATTGCTGAGGGTTCTGTCCTGTGGGTATAAGACAGCAGACCTGCTATCTCCGACTCAATGTCCCCGACCTTTCTGGACGTCAGGCTGCCCCCATGTTGGTGAGGGGTGACATGCAGCCCCACAGTTGGCTGCACATTGTTGCTGTGACATTGCTGGTGCAGTGGCTCTTGCCACAGTGCCTGGGGAGCTAAGTGCCAGCCGAGTTCCCCCACCATGGAACAGCAGACCTGTATCACATGGAATTCCCCTCTCCTCTTCCAAGCCCTGCAGGAGTGGCACCCTGCTTGGCAGATGAGGGAGCTCAGGCGCAATGGATGCCGACAGCTGGGAGCCTAGTTCCGGTCTGCGGGGCTTCAGCACCCAAGCCTGCTCCTCACGGCCTCGATGGTCCCCTGCAGATGGTGGGGGGCAGAGCCTGGTCCAGCTCAGTGGATAGGCCCAAGTGTGAACTGGCAGTGTGGGGCAGCAAGGCACATCTGCCAACCCAGTTCAGGTGACACAAAACACGGCCATGACACCCAGCGTAGAGGCACGGGGCACTCGGAACAGCCAGGCTCCTAACAGAGCTTCTTGTGGTGCACATCATGTTCATTTCCTAGGCTGGGTGGTAGGTCCCCAGGTGGTCCCTAGGCAAGTCTTTGTCACCATTTGATATGACTGAGATAGTGCAGAGGCGTTCACATGTAAATCCCCGGGCAGGAAAGGGAAGCAGGCAGAGGCCGGGAGAATGGGCGGGCTGGGGCAGTATGTGGTGAGCCAGGCCTGCTCAGCGAGGAGGTAAAATCGGGAGAGGCCGCAGGGAGCAGCCAGGTAGGAATGCCGCTCAGAGGGACTTGCTGGTCACTCAGGAATGACGGCGGCACGTTGTTTCGCAAGGCCTGTAGCACTAGAGCCCTCGAGTCTGTGCGGCCTAATTAGGAGGCTGGGCTCCCAGGTTCCTACCAGGAGCAGACAGAAACTCGCAGCAGTCTTGGCTAATCGCCTTAAAAGTCTCTTGTTTGTATAGCACAGACTTGACTTGGCGCCGGCCCAAATCAACTTGTTTTCTTACTGTCAGGTTCAGATTCTGGAGATGCCATCCAAGACGTCAGTGTGCACCCTGAAGCCGGAGGCAGATGCCAAGCCAGGCATGCCCATGTGCCTGGAGCTGTGGCAGGTAAGGCCCAGCGCACGCCAGCCACGCCCTGCCAGCCGCGCCCGCCAGCCATGAATCATGCCCCATTCAGGATTCGGTTTGTCGTCAAACCAACAGGGCAATTAGCCCCTTGGGAGAACATGCGCACGCCGCCTTCCTCAGCAGCCTCTGTCCCCCGAGGCCCCTGCCACCCTCCTTCTGTTGCAAAGGATGTTCCTGCCTGCCGCCTCAGGGCAGGCCTGGCTTGTGCCATTCTCTGCGGGCTGGTATTGGGGGTACCCCCTCAGCTGATGCAGCGAAGAGGGACAGTTGGGTCAGCTGAGCCGGCCCCCCGCCCGGGGAGGGACTCTGCTCTCCTCCTCTCCACGCACCAGTCCCTGGCCCTGCACAGGCCTGGGAGGGGAGTGCTGACTAACCCTGCAAGCCTGCACGGCCCTGGCTGTGCTGGGGATTAATTTTTGTTACTTCTTTGCCTCGGAGAGGCAGAGGTGGCTTAACATGCTGCCTTTCGCCACGGCCACACTTGGAATTTCTGATCTATAGCCATTTCCTATTTTCTCGACTGTTCTTTCTGATTAGAGAGGGTCAGGAGGCTTCTCCTGGGGCTGGCAGCAGAAGCCAGGTTTTGGCCCCTGGGCTGAGCCTGAAGCCTAGGAGGGATCTTCCTGGGCCTGCTTGCCTCTGCCAGAGGCCCCAGCTCTGGAGTTTGGGGCAGCAAAGTAAATGGTCTAGTGTGTTCACTTAGAAAGAATCCTGGGCAGCATCTTGGCCATTGCAGAAACTATAGTGAGCAGGTCACTAACCAATGCTCACCTCGGGAGCACTGCTTACAGTCCATATTCCCAGCTCTGTTCAGTTCACCAGCACCTTCTGAGGGCCACCCTTTGCCAGCCTGGGATCAGGAGCAGGTGATTCCTGCCTTGTGCCTCATTGCTTGTTTGAAGTCTTCCTAAGAGTTAGATCAGATGGGCTCAGGCAGTCTGGAAAGGTTTGTGTAACCAACAGGTTTCATGAGGACAGGCATCCCCAGAGACCCTGCCCCAAGCCTTTTGCCCCTCTAAGGACCAAAATGGTTCCCTGGCCTTTCTAGCAGTTGGTTTCCGCCTGTAGTTTCTTAACCAAGAACATTTCAGTTGGAATTCGGGATCTCTGATAGCTGATGCTATGGTGCGTGGCCACTGCTGCCGCCCCTCAGAGAAGCCCACAGGGGTGAGGAGGTGAGGCTCCAAGGCTCACCTAGATGATGAAGCTCCTGATGCCAGCAGGTGTGTGGCAGACACCTGGTGGGAAATACCCCCGAGGCCGTGATGCCGTGGCATGGCATGGTGCTCGCAGGTCCCAGGGCAGGACGGCAGCGGCTACATCTGCTCGTACTTCGCTCCCTGGAAATGCTGTCATTGCGTAATCATGTAAAAATTCCAGCAGAAAAAATGTGTAGAAACGGGATGTACAAACTTGTTAAGGTAATTAATATAGTTGACAGAAGGACAAATCGCGTTTTTGTTACTTGATGCAGATCCAACACAAATTGTTCTGTTAAGAATAGTCTATGTTAATCTTAAATGTCCCTTTTTTCTCTCCAAACCTGAAGGTCCAGGTTATAGTTTATTAACCTGAGTGTAACAGTGGCTTGACATGGTATTTTTTTTTCCTGAAACATTCGGATGTACTCTTGTTTTGCTCCTCAAGGAGGCTGACCTTCGTTGTTACAATGATTATCACGTAAAAGGTCAAGATCAGAATCGAGCCTCGTGCAGAGTTATTCACACCAGCCCTCAGAGCAGTGGACCCCACCTAAGCTGGGGGCTTCCCATAGGACCTCAAGGTACCACAGGCAGGGTCTGCCTTCTGGAGTCCCTCTGGGCAGGCACAACCACAGACAGGAAGGGTCACAGAGTATGTCCTTGTAGTGACTTCAGGTCCTCACTCCATAGTGGTCAGCCTGGCACTAAAGGCGTGGCCACCAAAGGCCTGTGGCCATAGGAGCACTGTCCTACCTGCGGTCTGTCACTGTGGGACCACCGGGACCCTGAGCACTGGGAAAGACGCTGGAGAAGACTGCAGCACAGGTGGGGAGCAGGGGCTGGAGCTCAGCATGTGGGCCCCCTTGGCAACTGTGGGGTGAGTCCCTGCAGGCCATCCTGGCTCCCGCTCTGACCACCCTGTGGTACCTCAACAGGTGGGTCAGTAGCATATAGCCCCTGAACTAGTTGAGGTGCTCAGAACCCAGAGACCACAGGCATCCAATGGGCTTGGGCTATAGAGACATACCAGAAACAAGGTGTCAGCGATGGCAGGAGCCCCAGACGAGGGAAGATTGTGCCCAGGGGGCCCAGGCGAGAGGCTGGGTCCAGGCAGCATGGATGGGAAGCAGGTGACACGTCAGAGCACTCTCCCAAGGGGAATGGACCCAAGTGGGCCCCATCTGAGTTCCTCACAGCCGGTCTCTGGTATGGAGTCCGGCAAGTCTGGTCTCAAGGTTGGTGCAAGCTCTTGGTCGTGGTGCAGACAGTGCATCCGGGCTATTTTCACCTGGCCCTCTAACTTGCTTCCTGATATGGTTGCTCATACGGGAGGCCCTGTCAGGAGAGGCACAGCTGCCTACAAGGAGCTGCCTGAGCAGAAGGCCTGACCACTTCTGAAAGCAGTCAGTAGGTCTTCAGAGACAAGTGGTGCAAATAATTTTACACCAAAAGATCCAAAATGGAGCATTTCCCTGTTATAAAACTACAGGGAAAAGTGCACTGATGCTGTCAGGGCTTCTGCAGGGACGCCTGTATGCTCAGCCTCGGTCCCTCAGTGGCAGGGGTCACCAGACATTGGGCACAAGCAGATGGGAGGGGGCGCTGTGCAGCCCCTCTGCGTTCACAGTCGCAGGGCTGCTCCCCTACCTCTCACCTGTTTGGGTCTGCGGAGGGTTGTCAGGCTGCAGGAGGCCCCAGGGAGGAGCACAGGCTGCCATCGGCCTCTCAGGAGCCCCTCTCGCTTCCTTACACTCCTCCCTTCTGTTGTTTGTGTGAACACATGCTATCACAGAAAAAAAAGATTGTAGGAGCATTCCAGGGACGTGCAAGAAGTGTTCTCCGGTCCAGTTCCGGTCTGGGAGGTTTCGCCATGCTGTGTGCAGTTCTCAGTGGCTTTGTGCCCTGTCTCCTGGCACAGCTGTCTCCTCCAGATCAAAGACCTGGTCTGCGTTAGGCTCCCCCTGGCTTCCATCACTAACTGGGCCCCTACGGCATACACTACACCCCACAGCCTCAGTTTCCCCTCTGACACACAGCGAAAGCCCTGCTTCCTAGGTTGAGGATGTGGTGTCTACTCTCATTAGACATACACCCTGGTGCCTCTGGTTAAACCAGGTCACCTGCTTAGCCGAGGGAGGGTTCTCTCTGGGTGCTTGGAACGCCATGGAGAGGTGCTCTGTGTGCAGCACCTGGGCCCGGAGTCCCTCAGGGTGGGCACAAGTGCCCACACAGCACGTTAACAGGAGCTCCAGCAAGTGGATGGGGGGGGGGCCTCTGTGATGCTGTTGGGCTATGTCCAGTGAGGCCCAGGCATTCTGCTCAGTGCCAGCCTTGCCCACTAGCCATGGACTGGCCTCAGCGTTGCAGGTAACCCAGGAAGTAGTCTCGCTGACCAGTCCCCCGCCCAGGCCCCCATTCTCACTGTTGACCATCCAGAGGCTGAGAGCCGGGCCTGGTGGAAGCTCACCAACGTACAGCTGAGCGCTTGCCTCTTGGAAAATTCACTGGGGAGGGAATGTGCTCAGCGATTTCTAACACTAGTGAGGCCAACCCCAGGCAACTCAGTGGGGAATGCTTAGACGAATGAAGAGCAAAAGGCGTCAGCCAGCGGGTGCCCTTTGTCCCAGAAGCCACCTGGGCACCTGTCCTGGAAGTGTTTCCTGTTGGCGGTATCTGGGGACCAAGCACCAAGTACGGGGCCACCACTCTCGGTGCCAGGGTGACATGGGCTCCTGTGGTGCTCTTGTGGAGTAGATGCGGAGGCTAGATAAACGAGGTGTCTGCCCAGGGTGCGGGCCCTCTGACCTGCTCCCTCATTTATCACAATAGCTCAGCGCTGCTGCGGCTCACTGGGCCTGGGGGTTGGGAGGCTTCTGCAGCGACGTTGACAAAGCACAGAAAGTTCATTTTCCACTGACTCAGAGCTGGCGATTTTCTTTGGTTAGTGGTTGGAGACAGGTGACTGGCCCCACCAAGGGGTGGCTGAGAGTCTCAGGCCTGCAGACAGGAGAGCCCAGCAGCACCCTGTGATCCTGGCAGGATCCTGGCTGGTGAGCACTGGCATGGCAGCGTGAAGCAGGAGCACACGAGCTGCCCCCGGGCTCTGTGCCCTCCAGTCCCAGTGCTCAGGTTGCCTCCAGCACCAGCCCGTGCAGGCCCTGAACTGATGGTGTCAGCCATCATGGGGGCATGCAGAGCCTCTGAACTGTTACTGTGAAGAACACAAGAAACAGCTCCCCGGCTGGGCTGCCCCCAGGGCCAGTGGGAGAGACAGCCCATTTCTTAAGCCCCTTCCCCCACAAAATGCGCCAGGACCCTCTGGAAGCTGACTGCTGTGTTGTTCCCCACAGGCCGACTCCAGTCCCCGCCCGCTCCTTCTGGCCGGCTATGAGGATGGATCGGTGGTCCTGTGGGACGTCTCTGAGCGGAAGGTGTGCAGCCGCATCGCCTGCCACACAGAGCCTGTCATAGGCCTTGACTTTGACTCCCAGAAAGCCAGGGGCGTCTCAGGCTCCGCAGAAAAGGCGCTGGCTGTCTGGAGCCTGGATGAGCAGCAGGCCCTGCAGGTCAGTGTGCCAGACCCAAGGTGTCATTTATCCTGCTCTGCACTAACAGTCTGATAGGCTGAAACAATATTTAGGCATGAAGAGGAGTTGTTGCAGATCGCTGGCTAATTAATCACTCTGAGGCGGGGCGCGGGCTGGCCTGTCCTTGGGGCCAGCGCAGGAAGAAGGGGGCATGGGCGTTTGTGAACCGTTCACATGGTTTGGGTTTCTCTCAGACCTTGGGTTAACAGCAGTCACGTCTTGTCCATCTAGAGGAAAGGCATGTCGAGTCCAGGAGTAAGTACGCAAGCCCATTTGCAAAAACTCAGAGGAATTTGGTCAGTAAGGAACTGATTAATCAAAAAACAAAAATTGCCCAATGTAGAGAAATCCACGGAGTCACGCCCCGGTGGCGGTCTGCGAGCAGGCCCCGGGGAGGCTGTTCCTCACCGGCAGTGGGGAAGGGGTGTGAGGCCTTGAGTATAGTAGGGAGTTGCTGAAAACCTTCCCATCATGTCCCAGTAAACCTTCTCATAACGTGCCAGTGGCCTTTCCAATCCAGCATGCCTTGTGAAGCACCCGGGGGCCACATTTGGACCTATGCCTGATGCTCAGCATGGGGTGGCCCAGGCTGCATGGTCAGTTCTGTTTGGGACGGGAGGGATGGAATTTGGGGGTGGGGAGCCTTCTGTCCAGGCCTCACGCTGGTGCAAGTCCCAGGGGACTAAAGGCCATGGGGGATGAGATACTGGGTGTGTCCTGTACCTCCTGGCCCCCAGAGGGTGATCTGGGTGCACACTGGTTTCTGGGAGTAAGCGAGGAGCCCCCATTAGCCAGGGAGCCTTGGAAGGCTGAGACCTGACCATGGCCAGCAAGTCGAAGCTCCTTGGAAAGGCAGCTCTGTGAACCCAGATCTGGTGGGGAGCAGCGCCCCAGATGGTGCCAGCAGAAGCAGCAGCAGCCCAGCTCCTGGCCTTGCCTGGGCTCTCATCACTGGAGTGCTGGGGGACAAGGCCTGGGGGCTGCCTCTTCTACAGGGCTGTGTGGACCTGGCTTCCCACCATAGATGGGCCAAGGAAGAGTCTCTTGGGGCCTCTCTCAAGGGCCTCTTGGGGCCTCTCTCCAGGTGGGGAAAACTTGCCCAGCAGCCCGGCAACCTGCCTCACCTCTCACTTGCCCAGCCTGGGCCCCCATAGCCAGAGGAAGAGGCCCAGGTAGGGTGGGGGAGGGGTGGGCTCTGGGTGAAAATCAGGACACGCAGCAGTGCCCAGCAGGCATCACTGGGGGATACCCTTTCATGTTGCAGATGGAGGGACCACTTGCATCCCACAAAAATCAGTCCCTTTGGAGAACCGAGGTTAGAACTAGAGCGAGTAGCCAGCAGCAGCTGAGGTGGGGCGACGCCAGCTGCCCAGGTGTGAGGCTGCCTGGTGTCTCTGTGGAAGAGATCTGAGGGTCTGTCTGGAGTCCCGGGGAGCGGCCCAGTCAGAGTCCAGTAGGGCAGGAGAAGGAGGGTGTCACGCGTCATATTTGGAGATAGGGCCCAAGTTCACACTTCTTTGGTCTCACGCCTCCCAATTGTCCGACCATCTCGTCATCCTTCCGTTATTCCAGGGAGCCCACGGAGGCCCCGAAGGAAGGGGGTCAGACAGGCCTCCAAGTGGGGCCAGGCCCAGCGATCAGGGTGTAGCTTCTTGTGCCTTCTATCCCAGAGGAAGGGTCTCATGAACCTGGTGGGGGGTGGGAGTGAAAGTCATAATGATGGTGGCCATTTTTAGAAGCTAGTGTGGAGCCACTCCAGTGCTGGTTCTTCATGTGCTGGGTTCTCAGCTGCTGAGTCAGCCTTGCTGGGTGCTGAGCTCCCCCACCTCCGCGGGCATCAGGGTTCTTCCTCACACCCCTCCCTCCTATTCCTTGAGCCTCATGGGGACCCACCCATTATAAGGTCCAACGCTTCTTTGCACTGTGCCTTGAATATCATCAGCCTGACTTTGCACAGGGCTGAAGACCCAGGTGGCTTCCCTGAGAGCCCCTGCCCAGGCTGCAGCACCCCCAGGCCTCCCAGGAATGGGCCCTCCTGCCGTCCTGGCCCAGATCTGTCTGGTCTCTCTCCTGACTTGTTCAGGAAACAGCTGCTGAAACTTAAGACTTAAATTTATGGGGCATGTTCCAGTTCAGAGATGAACTTTTACTGTACTGATGAATAGAAAAGTTAAAGCAGAGGGTATTGTATATGAATTGGAAAGTTAAAGCAGAAGGGGAGCAGACACTACATAATGGACGTAGTTGGTGTTGTAGTGGTACCTGGGCTGGAGCCTCACTTAGCAGTGCACATCGAAGCAGGAGAACATTCCACCCACTTGAGCATGGCCACCTCGCCCGAAGACAACTGGATGTCACATTCAAAGTTGGCCCAGAGGCCCTGGAGATTTTTAGTTCACAAAGCGCAAGCCTCTGAGGAGGAAGTGTCTGGGGGCCTTAGGCCGTCAGCATCCACAGGCATCCTCAGCCCGGGGGCCCTCGGTGTACTGTGCCTGGCCTTGCAGTGAGCACTGCGACACGGCTGCCCGCCGGCCCACAAGCCACGTGGGCACAGATGTGCCTCACCTCACGGCCTGCTGCTGAAGTCTCTAATGAGCCCAAATCAATCTCTCCCAGGCGGGCGCTGGGCGCGGAGACACAGATGAGGTTTCCCGCAGCAGAGCGTGGATAATGGGAACCAGATGGCGGCTGCGCCACGTGCGCATTCCTGGCACCTGAGGTCATGCGCTGTGAGAGCCACTGGTGGCCAGGGATCCTTCCCAGAGGGTCCTGGTCCAGGACGGGCTTGGCCAGGGCCCGAGATGGTGGCCAGCAGCCCTCAGCCACCCTCGTTAGCATGATGCAGCCTTGGGGGCATGCTGCGTTGCTGGGCTGCTCACCTGCCTTCCCAAGGTGGCTTTCCCAAGAGCCACTGGCGGCTTGGGCCTCAGCTGTCCTCAGACACAGGTGGTGCACAGACCTGCTCTTTCCTCCCACACTTGGGGCAGGGCCCATGGCCTTGAAGCAGGGGCTGATTTACGGCCAGCAGTATTTTTAGGCCTTTAAATAATAATGAGGGCCCCCCCACCCCACCCCAGCTAGCCTGGGCTGAGAAGCAGACTTAGGCACTCCCCCCCCCGCCCCTCCCGTGCCTAAGGCTGGCCAGGTGTCCTTGCTGCATGGCTACTTCCCTCCCTCTCCACAGCCCTGGCGGGGCTTCCCTCTAAAGTGTCGTCAGCAGGACACATGGGGTAGGTTAGGGAGCCCATAGGGCCCTAACCAAGCGTGTTCCTCCTGATTTTATATCAGCGAAAAGAGAACTGTGGGCACAACCCAGGTTACCATATGTGTCTCAGGAGCATGATAGAACAGGACTCTGGCCACGTTCACCATGAACACCCCCAATGAGCCTTCCTCTTCCTTAGAAACATGAGCCCCGCACAGGGACTGGGCTCTTTCAGTTTAGGTCCCCGTGAAACTTCAATTGCTGCTTCTCACTGCCCGCCCAGGAGCCAGGCATGTGCTGTGGGCCTCTACCCTGATGCCACTGTGTTTCCAGAGGAGTTTTGACGGTGGCAGGCGGGGCATCTCAGCCCCTCCCAGGTGACAACGCTGGCATGGCAGCGAAGTTCACAGGAGAGAAAAGGATGTGGGATGAAGATGGTCAGCCTCTCGTGCTTACGCCAGCCCCCAGTGCTCTGTCCATGAGAGTCAAGAGGGGCTGGGGCAGATGCAGGCCCCCACATGTGGGCACACATATGGGATTTGCCTTCTCACCCATGCGCTGCGGCATACGCCCCCACGGCCCTGCTCCAGCATGTGCTCATCTTGGCAGCCTGTGTGTGGAGTGGGGAGTGCAGGACCTGCTGAGTGGGAGCAGGGGCCATGGCGAGTATCCTTGACCTGCCTCAGGTTGGATCGGGAGAACTGCGTTTGCAGGAGTGTTTGGCAGATTCTCATGATGGGGTTAGGTTCTAGTCTACTTCTGGTAGGGAAAGAATCTGGATCATGAGAGGGTGCTGGGCTATCAGACTCATGGCTTTTCTTCCCAAATCTGTTAATTTAGTGAATTGCATTGTTCAATTTTTGTTACCATTAAAACAACCATATAGTACTAAAATAACCCGCTGCATAGCATGTCCTCCGAGGGGCTCCATCAGAGTTGTTCACGGCTGTCTGTGTGTCTGTCAGACTAAGCTGTACCCCCTCTCTTGTTGCTCATTCTGCTTATGGTATCGGGGTGTCAGCACTCCCAGAATCAGGAGGCAGGCATACCCTCTTCTCCTGATCTCTCAACAAGTTGGCAGGGGATCTGTTTCTGGAGTGGCCACGGGTCAGTCCTTTCCCGTACCCAAGGGGCAGACATGTTCTCTGTAAGGAAGGTCAGATTTTCTTCTTGAATTAATTTAGGTTTCCTGATTTGGGGAGGTTTCATTTTTCTAGGAATTTATCTCTAGGCATAAAAATCCTCAAGATACTTTAAAATCAACTTTTTTTTTCAGCTGTTTATAATGATTATTTGAATTTCTGCTGTATTTGCAGGACTGTCCCTTTTTTATTCCTGATCAGTCTTGTCTCTGTTGATCTATCTTTCTTCTTCTGTTTCAGCATTTCTGTTCTGCTCTTTCCTGCCTTCCTTCCATGCTCTCTGGGCTCACTCTGTTGCCGACTTGAGTTGGGTGCATGACACATTCGTTCCCGGCCCTCCTTTCTCACAGCAGTTGAAGTCTGCATCCCACATTGTGCGATGTCGCCGTCTTCATCACCACTCACTCTGGGCGGACCCGATTTTTATTTGTTCTCTGACTGCTGAGCTGATTAGAGTGTTTTTATGTTTCCAAATGTTTGACTTTTTTCCCCCAGTTATTTTTTATTTTTCAATTTCTAACTTAATTCCATTGTGGTCGGAGAAGAAGGTCTGAATGATATCAGCTCTTTGAAATGTGGAGGCCAGTCCAGTTTCATAAGTATTCCACATGTGCTTGAAAAGGAAGTGCTTC